TTTTTGTTGAGAAATGGACTCATAGGAGATTTGAACTGAGATAAAGATGCATTAATTGGTGGTTAAACTGTGGGTTTTGTATTGAGCGCTGTATAATACACTGTGGTGAACTTTGTTTTTCTTGTGGTCTGTAGGTAGGCCTACCTGATGATATAATATATTTAATGCCATGACTTGACTCTCAAATTATTTTTCTTATATTATTATAATTAGATTTTTTTTTCTCCACCATTGCTTATAATAATAATTCATGCGTCACCTAATTTCATCATAACACAGGCCTGACCCACAAGAAAGAACAGTGTATGTGTATATCAATATTGTTTTAGTCGTGCACTTGATTTATTCCTTTTTCCGTTTTGAATAATACAGAAGGTAAGGAGCTTAAAAATGAATCGCATAATAAATCGCAATATGTGGGGGGGGGATTCACAGGTTGATTATCTTCCAAAATCAGCCCTAGAATAGCTTAAAATTTAAGTGTTTTCCCTTTTTTATGTGAGCTTTACATGAATGTTTAGGTGGTGGTGGTTGTAGTCATGGTTTGGTTACGTTTTCCAATGAAAATTCATCATATTGGGCCATTATTTTCACCATATCTCTGAACAAATACTTGGAAAAGCTAGAGCAGATAATAAACAACACCCAAAAATCAGTCTGCTGGGGAGGAACTACAACCATTAGATTTGGGGAAAGTCATTTGGTTGGTTGTGATGTTCTCCACAGTGATTTTACATTTATGGCACAGCATGTTTTGGGCAACACCCCCTAAACCCTGTTAATATGACCTCAGAATCATTATAGATAGGATTGTTCATGTTTGCCTTTTGTGTCTTCATTTTACTGCTTTAGACATTTATCTGTATAGACATAAATATAGGCAACATGAAAAACCTCCTCCCTCCTGAGGTGCATTTTATTTGCACATCAAAATCGCAAAAGAAACGTCTCCCCATTAACTTAAAAGCATTAGTTTGTATCACTGATTAACTTTTGCTAACCTCAGCTCCTCCAGTCACCACCGTCCTTTCTTTTCCTAACAACCACTCTAAAGTATTTTTCACCTGAAAAATACTTTTGGATGAACTAGTCTGTACAGGACAGAGCTGTAGGCTGAACTAGTTTAGTCTAAGTGTGTACCTGATGTTCTCAACATTGGACCAGTGGGTAGTAAAACAGCTACCAGTTACTTTCTGTATATTGAGCTAATGTTAAGTTACATAGCAGCTAAAGACGCAGTCTACTGTAGAAGTGTTCCTGCTCAGCTGCGCAGTCTAAAGGGGAGGGGAGATGTTAGCTAGCACAAACAGGCTTCACTTTTCCAGCAGGTGGGGAAACATCAAACAGACTTTTCTTGGTCTTGAGAAGCTGGCACACCGTAACAGGCAAAGAAATTTACTGCCAGAATATTTTCCTCTGTTCGCGTTCACCGTCAGTTTCTGCTGATCGGAAATCAAAGTTCGAAGTTACGCTGCTCTTTTAACAGCACCTGTCACGTAGATGTCTTTTGAAGAATGAGAAGAGGAAGCAAGCCAAGCGATGAGTGTTACTGTGCTCACATAGTGTGTGAGTGAAAATTAGTAGCGCATTGATATAATAATGAATGAGTGAAATTTTAGTAGCGGTGCGTCGCTGCCCGTGAATGCACATAGGGGATACACTGAGTTTTCAACATCTTAGTCATCTAAGTAAAGCTGAGGGAAGGGGACTCATTCAATATGCTTGTGAAATTCTTTCTGAACTGTGACCCATCTCGATGTAAACCTGCACACAATTTGGATACAAGATACTTGTTTTGTTCCTTCAGGAGCTCTAGTTGTGTGATATTTGCCTCATGGGAAATTGTTAACAATTTATACAAATTTAAATACAATTTGTAAGGCAATTAATTGTTTTTTGCATTTACCTTACCTGTTCTTATATTTATTTTCCTAATGACTTAATTACATTAAACATCAAGTTTCAAATCAAGTATGATGGTATTACAAATACAGTTTGACAGAGATCTGATTGTAATTGGACTTAACAGAACACAGGGTCATGTCCCTGTCATATTCCACTTCTGTAGGCTGCAAAAGTTTTGTCTGCTCTCTGTAGGCACAGCAGGAGACCCAAAAGGCAGCTTTGAGCTATGAGAGAGCGGTTTCTATGCATACAGCTGCCAGGGAGATGGTCTATGTGGCAGAGCAGGGCCTGATGGCTGATGGCAAGAACACCCTGGATCCCACCTGGCAGGAGATGCTCAATCACGCTACCTCCAAGGTAACACAGAGGAGGCGGCACACATGAGGTTATATGACATCAGACCTGGGTTTAGTTGGCCACGTACAGTAGGTGCAGGATAGTTCTGGTGTCCCAAATTGGATGATACATAATTTCCAGGAAGGTTGAACACTCACTGGAATGTACAAAAAATGAGAGTGCGTCTAAACTGTGGTGGATAGTGACCATAGAAATAAAACGTGCAACTTAATCAGTGTAAGTTCATTATCTTGTTTATTTGAGCATTTTTACATTCAAGAGCACGCCACCGATTTAGCATTGCATTCCTATAACACAGACTTACAATTGATATTTATTAAAGGATAAAAGTCAATGCAGCAGGACCAGAGATATCATCTTTTTTTCCTCACACATTCTTCATTGACAAAATCTGCCACCGACATTTCTTTCAATGCAACTTGACTGCCGACAGTTTAGTCGGGGATTGGGGTGTGCGGCTTATGTAGTCTTGAGCAAATTTTCCCGTACTCCCCAAGAATTGTAAACAAACTTTGATGTATAAAATCGGTGGAGTTCCCCTTTAGATTCAACAGCTTTGCAGAGAGGTGACATGGAACTCGGGGGGGGGGCCTAAACACCCTGCTGCTGCATGTCTCTCACAGGTGAACGAAGCCGAAGAAGAGCGACTACGCAGTGAGAGGGAGCACATGCGTGTCACACACGCTTGTCAGGAGGCTGAGGCCCGGGTTCAGATGCTGCAAAAGTCCCTCAAAAGAGTCATTGTGAAATCCAAACCTTACTTTGAACTCAAGGCCCAGTTCAACCACATACTGGAGGTAATGCATACATACAGAGTGCACATGTTCTGTGCAGTGGACCATGTCCTCTCTCATTTACAGTTTCCTATTCTCACAAGAAGAATCCCGTTCTGCTTGTTGTGAATATGCTGCTGAGTTGGCAAACAATGCTGTAATATAATCTGTATCTTATGGATTTACGGGAGGTCACTGGTAGGTTGTGGCATAAAATCAATATTGAAATTGATGATGTGCCTTCTGTGTGACTCCAGGAGAACAAGGCCAAAGTGCTGCAGCTGGAACAACACGTAGCCAAAGTGAAGACCCGCTATTCCATCGCCCTACGAAACTTGGAACAAATTAGCGAGCAGATCCACGCTCAGAGGGGAAGGGACCAGGCCGAGGGAGGATGCCCCACGTCTGTGGTGGGCGGAGTTCCCCCATTGGAGCCGAGTCCGACATCAAAGTTAAACGAGAAGGTGGAGCCTGCAGCGGTGGTGCGACGGGGACAAGTCGAGTGGATGGAGCCATCGACCTGGTGGAGAAATACAAGGAGAAGGAGAATGAAAAGGAGAGGGAGCGGGCGGGGTCTGATTCCCTTTCAGTGTTCAGCCTGCAGACAATCGCTTCCGACTTGGAGAAATATGACTCCATTGAGCATCTCGGGAACCTCAGCGATGTAGGCAGCATGACTGGGGATGAGGGGGAGAAAGAGAGAGGCCCAGTAATTGATAGAAGAGACAAGCTGACGGAAACATCCGCCAAGGAGCGCCAGCAGCAGTTCTACAAGCAGCACCACCGAAGCTTCAGTTTGTGAGGCTGTTACAGGTGTAACGGCTATAAACAGCGCAAAAGTACAGTGTGAGTGATCAATAAAGTACAAGTTAGGGTAAACATCCCTAAAACATGGGTACCAACCAAAGTATAAGACAGCGGATTAGCTGCAAAAATAAAACTGCAGCGATGCAGTTCTAGGTGTAAATAAGCACACATAAGTTAACTGACAATTCTAAAGCGGGCACTGATCTATAGTTAACATTGCAGCATAGTTAGAACACTACTTGAATCTAAAGAGCTTTCAACCCTTCAGGACAAGTATACTGTATATTCACCCCCCTGTGAGGGATTCTGAGTAGAATTTGTTCCTCGAGCGCGAAGCATGAAAATTCAAACGCCCCGTTTGAACAGACATATTTAGAGAAGGTGTCATTTCTTACTTTGATACGTTGATTTAATTTGGTGAGACTGGTGAAACAAGTTCTGCTATTGTTTCTACTCCAGTCGTGTCGAGTCTTATCAGCGATTGCTTCAAGGTAGAGAGGGGTGGCAGGGTCTCTCCATACACACACTGTATGTAGATCCACACTCATGTCCACCATCAAGTTAGTGTGTAGGGAAAAATGACAAAAACGATTCTTTCAGCGGAGAGTGAAAGCATGTTCGTATTTACATTTCATATATTTATTTCCGGTAACATGCTGAAAGTAGTGCTTAAATTATTTTTGGCACGAGAGAATGCGTTTTTTGAAAATTCCTGAAAAGATGAATGGAATCAATAGAGTCTGAATATTGATAAGAGTCTATTTGACTCTCCACTCCGAGAGCATGCACTCCTGTGTGGCTATTAACGCGGACATTTATGACGTGTATTCAGGGCTATATGCTGAAACAAACACTGACACCATTAAAGCTAAGATGATGAAGCTCAGCCAATGTGTATAATTTGGATATTGTTTACATTTGTAGAAGTGGATTGCATTGGCAGCTAATGCATTTCCTCCTTGTTTTGCCTTTTTAAAGAAATTGCCCTGTAATTTGAAGTGTGCCTTGACACAGAACAAGTAACACATTTAGCATGAGTAGTACTTTGTTGTAAACTCATCTGTAGTTCTGTTTAGAACAATTTAAAGAACAAGTGTGTGCCCTTTCATGGTTTGTTTTTAAAATATATCTTTTAATAATCACCCAGGCACTGTTCCCGACAAGACTTGAAGAGTTATGATTTCTTTTTTGTGTTGATTTCTGTATTTTCTTTTATGATATTGTACTTTGATTGTCAAAGTGTATGATGCAAAACAATGAAGTCAAGAAATGACTTGTAAATGTATGTAATTATTACAAAGCTGGAAAATATTGACATGTACAGTTACACGTGTCACTGATTTGAATATTTGACAAGATTGTTGTACAGATGTTCTGGATACCCACAGGTTGTCGTATGTATTTAAATCATTGTTGTTGCAGTTTATCTGAAACACCTCACCATTACTTTTTTCTTAACAATTAGTCTTCACCATTTTAATTGCATTTGTGAATTAGCCAGAATGCCATTGTTTCCAATTAATGCATCTTCATACCTAACAATCAATAAACCTCATCATACTTCTTGGGCTTATACTTCCTATATTTTGATATTTATGTGATATTTTGTAGGGCTTATTGTAGAATTGTATGTCAACAGGCAGGGTAGGATGTGAGTTTCTGTTTTACTGACTCAGGAATAGGGATGGTAGGAGACAGAGGGAGAGGTTATGTCTTCCCCAGCCTTCCTTCAATTATTCAGCAGATGTATAAATATGAAGCAGGATGCTGATCTCAGAATAGATGGCAGAAGAGGAGCAGAGAATGGTGGGAAAGGCACAAAAGGGGGACATGGAGGAGTCCATGGACTTTGATTTAATAGATGGCCAGTGTTGTAGAAATGACTGACAACTGCTTGGTTGACTTAACTCCAAAGAGCTTTAGAAAAAGGCTTAACAAAGTAGTCACTATTAATACCACAGCACCATATCTGCACCTCCATCCGTGTCTAGTCCTCCTGTCGCGATATAATTATTCACCGTGGGATAAATCCTCAAGCTTATCATAAACCCTATGCCTCCTCGTAAGATTCATTATGATATTTTCTGTTGTGGGCCTGCACGTTAACGTGTTTCATCTGGGGTGTGTGTGTGTGTGTGTGGGGGGGGGGGGCTGTTACGCACGGTGCGTCTCCATCATGACGTCGTGAATTAGCTCAAGATCGTAGAGGGGGAGAGAAAAAAAGGAGGGGAGTGTGTGGTGTATCGGTGTTTCGTCGCTTATGGGGATGCGTTTGTATATAGTGCATGTATATTTTTTTGTATGGACCTGTCATTTCTTACCTTTGCCATGCCTAACTGCAATACCTGGAAAAACCCCGAATAAGATACGTTTTGTTTTTGTAACATTCTGTTTTACGAACGGAGCAGCTTGCACATTTATAGCCATATTAATACAGCCATAAAAATCGTTGCAAAGATGCATATTTTTACCAAATAATCCGACACCGGGCTTTCCCTGGCGGGTCCCATCCGGAGGACGCACTGTTATCTTGACCGAGCGCTTCGATACTAATAGTAAGTACACATGCTACGGCTTTGCTTCAGGGGGCTATATGCTACTGTTACTGTAGGTTGCAATATTAGACTACATCTATTCAGAAAATGCCCCATTTCCCATGAAATAATGTAGACTATGCCAAATCCGTTCTTCATTGAGTATGCAAAGGCCATACATTCTCGATGGGCACAGGCCAGATTTGTTTTGAGTTCCTTAAACCATCACCATCCAGTCTGCATTTACCTTTTTGTGCGTTACGAAGAGAGGATAGCGGGATGAGATTTTACACCTTTTTGAACAACACGCCGCCGGTTTAAGCAAATGACATGTTTTTCTAGACGCTAGTTTTGAGATCCATCATATGGGGACCATACGGGCTTGTTAATATGGTCGGCCTTCCTCTACAGGCCATGACGGATTCTCTTGTCAACAGCCGACAAGTAACTACCGGCTGCATACGGTTGGTGGCACCCTTACTGTGACCCTCACGTCTCAACAGTTCATGCTCAGCCATGCACAAATGTACAGCATCTGGGTCTATGTGCAAGTACCCCGTGTGGAAATAGCCACTACATGCATTTCAGTAAATGTGAGTTCGGTGCTGCAATGGACAGGTACATCCCTTTCCATCGCAGCTTCCGGCATTATGAACACACAGGGAAGTAGGCAGCAGTGACATTAGAGGAGGAAGTGAACGTGGATGGGCTGTAGGTGTTTTTGTAATATGGCGTTTTTACAAGGCTGCAATGTTTGGGAGCGGTGAAGACGCTGTCCGTGGTGCTGAAGCCTTAATTGCATTTAAAGCTTGAGGCTAGTTGACGGCCCCCTTCCCCCCTGTCTGCTTGGTGCTGCTGCAGCCACAGTGCTGATGGAGTTAGCTGGCTTCGTGCTGGTCAGGCTGCCTCGCCTGTGCTACACTCACTCACGTATAGTTTGCTTTTATCCGGCTCAGTGTGTGTTCGCTGATATTAATGACTCCTGCTGGGCTGTCCTTTTTCTCCCCCATTTCTCTCTACTGCCTCCCCTCCCTCCTTCCCACACAGGACAAAAGCACACACTGTACGCTGCCAACACACACACACACACACACACACACACACACACACACACACAGACGTAATACACACTCTCTGGTGGTGTCTACCTCCTGCATGCTTCTTGTCAGTGAACTCTAAAAATACACTGGATAATGCTAATGAAGTATCCAGCCGAGTTTGTCTGTCTTCCACAAGCAAGCCTCGCTGCCATCTGTCTCCCTCACTGCCTCAATGTGGGCCCCAAACTTCACCACACAAGTGTGAGAGTGTATGGATATGTTTATGTTTGTGCATGTGTGACAACCTCATAAAGCAACATTTATTATTCAAAACTGCAAATGAGCAGCTAAATACAGTAGTGTGTTTATCATTGATACTACCAGCACTGGATGTTCTGTGGCCTAAAGGACTAAATGGTGTTTTGATGTTTTGCTTGTTAGCATAGCACACTCATTCTGTGCTCATGAAATGTGCACATTAGTCAGTGAGATGGCTAAGTGGCCTGTCGTTTCACCTTCCTTGTAAAGCAGATGGAGTCCTTGTACTATTGAGTTAATGTAATAGTTTGCTCTATTTGCTATTTGTTGATATGGCAGATATTATTTATTGATATAATTGTAGATCCACTCTTCATTTAAAGGGTGATGTTGCCCAAAGTGTGTTTACAGGTGGAACACTGTTGCATATGTGGCTAATAAAGTTATGTTATGCCTTTTGTGGCTCCAAAGGGAGCTGTGTGAAGTCTGATAAATTGCCTTAACTGATGTCACTTGAGGCGGTGTCGGTTGGGGCTGAAGACTACAAGTTAGACAATAAAAAAATGTGTGGAGTTAGAACATGTGTTAGCTTACCAGACCTCTGTAGCCCACTCCTCATCTCTGCTTGCGGCTAGAGATTCGAGACTACATTAGCCACTACTAGCATAACACACCCAAATCTCCAGACAAACTGTCGGTGGCTGAGTTGCATTGTGGGTAATGTAGGCACCATGTTTTGACAATGAAGACAAATGCTTGGAATTAAAAAGATGATGTATCTGGTTCAGCTGCATGGATTTTGATTTATAAAATATATGACACTTTACACCATGAGTCTGACAAGGTTTTAGGAGTGCAATGCTAAATTGGTGGAGTACACTTTCAGAGAAAGTCTCAAGAGTTTTCTTGCGTCCGATTAGGTGGAGTAGGTCATTGCCTGAAAAAGCTATGAAGATACCTAAAAACACATTTTTTTGTAACCATAGTTTATAAGCTGTTCCAAATACTTTTCTAACATGGCATAAAGAAAACTATTCTAAGCTAAGTCTGCCCTGGTGTGAAATGTTTCCATGGGCAGCTACTTAAAATAATAAAAACCATCAAAAACTCGGCTGAAACCTTGTATACATGGCCTTTGAAATTAAGCCAAGCTGGCAATCAATGGAGCCCGGGCTGTCTGCACTGTAAATACAAATAGAAGCAGAGAGAGAAAAGTGGACTCATCTTGATTCTCATCCTCTCTATGCACAGTCAGGCATGCTGAAAAGGGAGCTATTTTGCCAAAAAGTTGATGCATCTCTTTTAGAAGGACAGACAGCAGTGGACCGAAAGTGACTGTATCTGAGGACTGAGAGTGTAGCATTAATACTGTAAGAATATTTTCTCAGTAACCTTTTTCTTTTTGTCTCTTGTTTCCTCTTCTGTCTTTCTCCCAAACCCCAAACTCCTGTCACACATTCCCACTTTCTTTTTAAAACCTTCTCTCCCTCTCTCACCCTTCTCTTTAGATCCAGAGATGGCACGCCTATTGCTTCTGATTATTCTCTATGCTCTTCCATCTCTTGTTGTGCCCATACATAATTCATCAACTGGAGGTAATTTTGTGTGTATTTGTGACTGAATCCGTGTGGGATATCTGTCTGTGTGTATGCTGTCTGTGTGTGTTTATAATATGCATTAATGGACAGATGTAACGCTGCAGAAATTGCTAAGTGACCCGAATGAAACACTGTAATCTGTGCAGCAAGGAAGGTGTCAATTAATTGACAATATATCATGTTGTTGTTATATATCTACATTATCTGGAGACAGAGCTTTCCCTCTCTGCTCTTGTCATCTTCCTTTTTTCATACTTCTTCCTCTTCTCTTGTTTTCAGGCTGTGCCATAATCCGGCCTCCAAGGGATGGGGGGATCCGCTACAGAGGCCTGACACAAGAACAGGTACAGAGAGAACTGTTACTGTGCTGGATCTAAAGATTCAACATTGAATAATTTATTATCATATCAACCGCAGAAATTGTTTCAGTGCGCTCAGAAACAACAAAGCACAACATATAAAACGTATAATCACCATTAAAAATGACACCATTATTAATGAATTACAGAACCTCACCTGTCAAACACCTCAAACACATTAAACACAGTTGGCTTGAAGATTTTCCAAATAAAAAACACAGAATTGGAAGTATTAAGCAGCTATCCTTGTATCTGCTAACTGGAATGTAATTATTTCTTCCTTATTATTATTATTATTATTATTATTATTATTATTATCATCATCATCATCATCATCATCATCATTATTATTATTATTATTATTATTATCGTTGTTGTTGTTGTTATTGAAAATATAAAACATGTCAGCCTGAGATAAAGTGGTGCCATTACATTAATTCAAATTAGTTGGTGATGATTACTCCATATGATGAGGGATATGTTAGTTAATTATATAATAAAAATAATAAATAATAATAATAATATTGACAAATTATGTAACAACGTCTAAGAAGGGTATGTTGAGTTGTCACAATATCAGCTGACATTATTACTGCACCATCAGTAGAAATGTAAGTTGCATTAGTGCATGTTAAACTACTGTAACTAAAGGAACAGTTGGACATTTTGGAAATTTGCTTTCTTGGTGAGACGAGAGGACTGATGCCATCATGTCCTGTAAATATGAAGCTACAACCAACATCCAGTTAGCTTAGCTTAGCATAAAGACTGAAAACAGGGGGAAACAGCAAGCCTGGTTCTGTCCAAAGGTAACAAAATCTGCATATCAGCATCTCTAAATAAATGACATGTGTGTGAGAATGACATGATAAGTTGAGGTTTTATGGGCTGTGTACAAACAGTCCACCACATAACCCCCTTTAAAACACAGTTTCTATACGGATTAAAAAAAGTAATATAGATAGATACCATCTGCCCGATGGTAACAGCTAGTGCAGGCTAAATAGGGGATGTGATACATCTCTAATAATTGCCTGCCTTTTCCTCACCAATCAGGACTCACAGGTCATCGTCATGCAGTTTTGCTGCTGTCCAGCAATCTTACAGAACATCTTGACTTGCAGTTTATCTTTATTATTCACTCACAATGTAAAATACCAGGCAATGGAACAAAAGGTTAATACGTTCTCCGTGAAGGAGCGATAGAAGAGGACCAATATATCTCTGTCCACACCAAACTGTCTCAGTTTCAGACCTGTGTTAAAATTTCCTGACAGTTTCACATCTATTATTGTTCCTAAGTATTTGTGATCATCCACCAGTTCAACATTCCTGAAGCCAAACAAATATTTCTTTAGTTTTCTTTGTGTTCAACTGAAACTTGACCTACACCAACCAACAAACTGCTCTACCCACCACCGGTAGCTAGTTTTATCGTCATCTTGAACCAAACCAACGACTGCCATATTGTAGCAAATTTAATAGTAACATGCTCAGAGGTGTTGCTTCTACATTCTACCATATTTTGTTAAGTGAGCTTTAGAGGTGCTGGTAGGCAGATTTTTTTCTACCGTTGGACAAAGCCAGGTTACATGTTTTAACCTGGTTTCCAGTCTTTATGCTAAGCTGATTGACAAACATGACTATGGTTATCAGTCTTGTCATCTAAATGTGTTTCCCAAAATATCTATTGCATTAATTAAAGGCACATTTAATTATGGAGTGACATTGGACTAAAAATTAACATAAATGTATATTACATGATTTACAAATGTGTACAACAATTTGTGCGCGATTTGAGGTACTCACAAATGCATGTCCAATCCACACACAAATACCAAGCAATTTGAACACATGTAGTTTTACAAATGCACAACATCATGCATCAGGTTACATTTGTGTATGGAGCTTTGAGACTCCTTTGGTGGTCTCCAGCTCCACAGATCCACAAATGCATGTAAAACTGGGACATCTGGGCTTTCAGTGAATTCATGTGTGTCAAGTGGGAAAGATGTTTTAATAAATAAATGTGTTACATGCAATTAGTTGCTACAGATCAATCTGTTGGCTCTGATGGCTCATGTGCTTACCAAAACCATGTCTCAGGATCAGCTAAAACCTTTGACCTTTGTCACATGACATCCAGCTCTCTCCCTCTAATCTTTCCATGTCTCATTCAGCTGTGAGCTGAATAAAGCAGATATGTCAAACAAACACCACAGGATTAACAGATCAGACGAAAAGAGATTCACAAAAATTTGAACAAGCATGCAAACAGAGCATGAAATTAAAGAGGCAATTCTAATTGTTCTGATTCTAATCTAAGATTCTAAACATGAACATCGGTTAACTAGACTTGGGGAGTACTGGTCTGTGTAAACAGTTGCACAATGTCTCCTGTGGCTCTCAGTGGAGCTTTGTCAAGTCTGGGGGGGGATAAAACCCCAGTGATGTCATCAGGGTATTTCAGATTGGGCTTGGAGACAGCACATTTTAACAGAAACCCTGTGTTACAAACTGAGGGCGCTGAGTGAAATGGGTGCTTCCCAGGCAGGAAGGGTCTAATGAAGCAACACTATAGAGTTGTACCATGGGAAATGTAGGACGTTTTGGAGCTTGACTGATGTTTGGGACTTTAATCAAGATGTCTTGGCATCTTCTGCATCAATTTTAACCTTGGAAATGTTAAATTTAAATCAAGGTTCAATTATTAGCTTTTTCCTGTGTTTTCTGTGTTTATGTTTCAAGTTTGTTTTGATGCTCTTGTGGGACAATAAACATCTGAACTGAAATGAAGCACAGTGAGAGAAAAAGTGCCAGAAGAAGTAACCAAATACACGTAACAGAGTTTTTGCAATGAACAGTTTTACAGGTGGAAAAATATTGTATCCATATACTGTATATACACCTGCACCAGTGCATCAAATGTAAATGATATAAACATGTGTTTGGAAACTTTGGGATCTCAGTTAGAATTTAAATTAAATGTTCTGTGGGTTTAAAACAAAGTTTGAACAATGTTTAAATGACCCAATGGCAGGCAATATTATAAACAACTTTGTCCTTTGCAAATCCCCTAACTTTATGGATGTGCTGGAGTACCCCTTCATTTTTTGGCTCGCCTTGGCTCACCAAGTTGTAATACAACAAACAAGAGAGATTGATGTAGTTTCAAAGTGTAAGAACCATCAAAACCTCCAAAACCAAGCAATTTAATATCTGAATCTCTGGATGTATCCACACACGAGTCCATCACACATACAGTACACGCAACACAACATTACATTGAAACATAAAGCCTGGGCCTATTTGCTTCCTCTCCCAACCAGAGTGAGGGTTTAATTCAGAGTGTGAGAGCCCATCAATTCAGACAAGATTGCCATAAAATGCTCTTCCTAGTAGAGCTATATTGTCACAACCATATGGCACAAGAGTGTACGGCACTGAGTGTACTGCACTGAGACGGAATAAAGAGGGTCCCTAAGTGAATAGGAAATACAAGTATGAGGGCATCAATCACACTTTAATGGCTGTCTCTCCTCCCAATCTCTTTCTCTTCTGTGGTTCTCTTACAGATTCGCAGTGTGCAGATCCTGCCAGTGGATTATGAGATAGAGTATATCTGCAGAGGAAACCGGGTGATTGTGGGACCCAAGGTCAGGAAGTGCTTACCCGACGGCACATGGACAGACATAACGCACCACAGCAGATGTTGTAAGTCCTTTTGGTCTAATTGTCAGACTCTTTTTATCCTTACCTCCACCCATTTCTTATCTTATCACATTTTACAGACAGTTCTTGTGTATAATAATCAGTTCTTACGCGTTCTGTCTGGTTAATCAACATATAAAAAAGCCACCGTTAATAATATAAAATGTCAGTTGTTTTGACAGCATGTTACCGCTTTCCCCATTTATACTACACACAAAGGAAAGTGTAAAACATTGTGCAACCTTCTCACTTTTTTAAGCACTGGTATTACAGTCGTTTTTATCATCTACAGTACTAATATGAAAATCCACAGTGAAGAGCTAACATGAAATCAAACCACAGTTTTTATTGTTATGGTTTCCTACATTACCGGCTCCCATCACTGTTTGAGGGGGTAAAAACAAGTCATTAACACAACATTGACATATTGTCTCTTTTAAGTTGATACGGTAAACTCGAGCAAACATCCAACATTTACTGAGCAATATTATCAATCATTTGGTGTTGTTTTTCTGTCCACCTGACGAATGTAAATCCAATATTCACTCTATTTTAGTTCAGTTTTTGGTCTCCTGAACGAATAGTGCGTTTTTAGAGCTTTTTTGCTAAAAACAGCTAGCTGCTGTTGCTGCTTAAACGGTGCTATGAAAGCAGTGAGACAGAGTGAACCCAAACAGAAAAGATGCTGGCCGTATAGCTAAACAATGAGCTAAACAAACTCGCTTTAAAGCTCTGTAAAGCCGAGGGAAGATGCAGATTCAGGTGAAAATTCTTTGTAGGTTCATAACTACAAGCAACCCTTTTTGCATTATCACTGTTTACATTGTCATTTGACACATTGTTATTGTAAAGATATTGATTATATCTGCTTTGAAAGGAATTAAAGTAAATCTTGTAAATGAACATTACCGACATTAACACGTTATCTGATCAATTACAGTTCGATAATTAAATTTGAACTTTATTCTTGACCTTATGAACAGTATAGGTAACAAAATCTCAACTCAAAGATTTGTTAACTAGCTTTTTGGGAGCTTTCAACCACATCTCATGGTCCCTGCAATAAACACAATTTACACAGAGAATTAATAGATGGCCAAAAAAAGATCAAGGAGGCTGTTCACAATTAACCAGAAAGACCACTATTGAACAGTGACATGGGTTACGATCTCCCTCCCATTTATGACCACTTGTTTTCATGCGACGGCAGCTGAGCCATTTGCTGATGAAGATTGTGAGATGCAGTTTAAAGTTGTAAAAAAGATTGATTTTGACACACATTTTGGTTGAAATTCGTCTCTTACTGTGCTGGTAATATGTTGCAAAACCAGAGCTTGTAAACATAACCTTGTTTTGTTGAATTCTGATCTATGAATAGGTTTTTTATTTTACTGTGTCCTGTTGATTGCTGATTAGCTTTTTTGTATGTATCCTCTGAGATATGTGTGCCTAAAGAGGGGCTATATAAATAAATAAATGTAAATGTGAAATTATTTGTGACACTTCCATAGAGAATAGTTCAGGCTGATGCTGGGTATTGCTTGCATTTAGATCTAGGTTAAAGAATAAATGAGATAGCTTGTTTAGCTTCCACGTGTATTAATTTTGTTTGTATGATATTCAATTTATTATACAGCATTAAATTGTTTTACTTAACTTTGCCTGCAAACCAAAATGTAATCTTATTGGACAGTGCGGCCTGAATGTAATTTCTACTCAGATCACATCCACAGTGCCTCTGCAAATACTGAAAATAAGGCCAGCGATCCAATCAAATCACAGTTACATCTCTGTTTTTGTTCTTTCAGTTCACATCTAACATCAGTGGAATTTATTTTTCCCAAGAGTACATTCTCTAAAGCCGGGTTTTTGTTTTCTCTGGCTTATGTAAGAGCACAAGCTGCAATGTGCAGATTTGAGCTTTATAATGTGCTCCCAATGCTGGAAGGAAGATTCACAAAACTTGGCAGCTAAACAAATTATATTCAAGAGCTTGGCCATTTTGTCAGGAAATCAAACCAAGAGGAAAACGCTAAACCATATGGAGGCTGTAGCATTGCAAGCTAACATCACACATGTGGGCTAAAGTGTAGTATAATGTATTTCTTACTGGTAACTAACACAAAATTGGCAGAAGTAATGACGTTGGCAAAGCACTTTTACCGTTTTGCTCATTTGTATCCAGTTTGTTACCTAGTGCTTGTTCAGCTGTTGGAGAAACATGTTAGGCCAACATCATCCATTAATTTGTACACTGTAGAAAAGCTCTGTATTTTCTCAGTAGCCAATGTCAGCAGCAGCAATAACCAGAAGTTACGAAAAACCTTGAAAAATAGGAATCTTTTTAACCTATTGCCTTAGTAACTGAGGCTGGAGTGTGTGATTGCTTTGTTAAAAGACATATTATTTAAAGACATAATATTTTACTTGTGAACTATAATGACTAATAGTTGACAAACTATGTTTGACAACTTTGGTCATGGTTAAAGATAACTAGAGGCTTAGCTGGAATAATTACATACCAGTTTGTTAGTAGCATGATTGTAATTGAGTCCAGCAACAACTTTTCACGATAGTGTAGGTACAGTAGGTCTGGTATGTATTTTTCCATGTTTCAGTTGGCCATTTGTTTGGATTAATGGATTTCATTCCCGCAGTTCTGATAAACCCACTGTACACTACCTGATGAGAAAGTTAGCGACTAGCTGGTGAACACGGTGGGGAATTTAGTAGCTAAAGTAGCTAAAGAGCTAGTTACGTCCCTCTGTTGGTTGAGTTGGTGGTGACCAAAACAGAGCTAAAAGAGAATGAACACTGAACATATATTAATCAGAAACATGACTTAAAAATGAATGCTAATGTTCTTTGCTATGCTGGACTGCAACTGCTTTCTAACATGTTTAACTACTTTATAATATGTGTTAACACTTCGTTCTGCTGCCCTCAAGCTGCCACCACCAACAGTTAGGTAGTTAACTTGCTAGCCAGTTAACTAACATAATGCTGGTTCTTTGGCCACTGAGCATTTGGACAACCAGTAACATTATCCATCCAAAGCACGTTTACCTCTGAGAAATGTGTAACGGTATGAATGCATGGATTCACCTTTTCTAAATTCTCCTTCTCTTTTGTGGTCCTTGTGGTTCCCAGTGCTGCTGTGCCCACGGGTGTGGACTTCCCTGGAGAATGGTCGAGTGATGGTGAAGCCCCCCGGGCAGCCAGTGGAAGGGACAGTGCTCCATTACAGCTGCCATGCCGGCTTCATCCTGGAGGGCAGAAACATCAGCCATTGCACTAAACTGGGAAAGTGGGACGCGCCTAAACCCACCTGCCTCTGTAAGTGTCAAGCAAGTCTGACTAAATGACATTTTACATTAAGCTTCCAGTTATGGTAGGTTTAAGAAAATGATGTTGTTTGGTGGGAGGATTCAGTCAGTTATCTCAACAGGCTAACTGACAACACAGATGGTAATTAATAAGATTTACATCATTATATCATTGCAGCCAGTCCAGCAGAGATGCTAGTAAAGAAAATTGGTGCACAGTCAGACATACAACATTGATACCATAAATGTTTCTGATATAAATTAATAATATCCATCATAACAAGTAGTAGCAAGTAAATCTACTCAAATATTAAAATGTTTCTAAAAATGAGGATTCATTGCGTTATGAGAATCACAACTGGAGGTTATAATTTACGTACTTTTTTGCTTACCATGATTTTTCTTTTTAAGATTTACTATAAATTGTAGAGTGTTAACGTCTAATCCATTAATAGACAGGCACTTAATCAGCAATTATTTTGATAATCAATTAAGTGTCAACTTTTCAAGCAAAAATACCAGTCATTATCTGGTAGCAGCTTCCCAAATGTCAGGATTAGATGCTTTTCTTTGTCATATATGATACTAAACTGAGTATGACTTTGAGTTGATGATACATTAGCCTCTGGTACTATTATAGGCATATTTTATGACATTTAACTGTCAAAATAAATGAATCTTAATCTAATCTGTAATCAAATAAACAGAAAACATCCTATCCCATTTCAGCATATAGCCACAACCCACTTCAGCTTTAGCAGCCTGCCTTACAAAAATGGGAACATAAGGCCTTTAAGATGACAGATAATTACAAACACCTGCTCTCCCAAGGGTGAAGCACAGTTGCTAAGCAATAAATGATCCAACCAATCACAGTGTAATCCATAGAGGGCAATCTGCACTGTTGGCACAGGCAGGTAAAATGAATCATGAGCACAAGTTAAAACCTTATGTCCCGTACATTAAACTGTACACAGGGTAAACACTCAATGACTATAATATCACAGCATCAGTGGATATTTGTGATATCACTGACACCCAAAAGTGTTGTTATGAGTTGGCATGTTTACAGTTTGAAAAGATTTGTCCAAATGAGTGCAAATATTGGAGGATTTAAGAAACAAAACACACACAGATGAATCAAAGAACTGAAAGAAATGAGACTCGTTATCAAAGGAGTTGGCATGGCAACCAATAAAGTTGCTATGGGAATGGTAGTATTAAAATGGATGAAAGTGGGAATTATCAGCACAGTTAGACTGGGCAACTAAAAGTAGGCTACTTGTTGTGTAATGAAAACATCTCGAAGATCAGTAAAAAGCTTTGTGGTTCATTCATATTTGTAAATAATTGCTTATAATGTACTCTGATTATATTTACAACTCTACATGTTGTTACTAACAGATTTTTTGTGGTACCTACACTATGTAGGCCTAACTATATGAAATTTAAAGGTAACTATCTATTTTTATGGCATGCTGGTAAAACATCAAAGCATTACATAATATTTCCCACAATTACTGCTCAGCATCCAACCAACAGTGCATCACTCAATACAACTACAATGTTGTGTCACTGCCATCTAGTGGAGGGAAATTATTAGACTTTTGAGCTTAACTGCACCAAGTTTTTACAAATTATACATTATAAAGGTAAATAATTTACTTGGAAAACACCAAAGCTGTTTTTGTGAAATGCTGAAACCTTCTAGTTAACTGTCCTGTTTCCACTTGAATTTCATCTGTTTTCTGTTCTTCTCTTTTTTGTGTTTGCTGGACAAAGATGACAGAAACTATACAGGTAGGAATTTTTCATTTGTATTATCGTGTCCATGCTAACCAAATCATCACAATAGTGTATATATATTTATATATATCTCAACAAAACTCAACAAATAAAATCTGCCACAAGCAAGGGTCCCTTCCCAAAGTTTCCATCAGAAATGAAAGGTGTAGCCCTTAAATCATTACATATATGTACTATAGCAACAACCACTCTCCCTGGGGCCCATACCTAATTATTATTAATAGAACATGAAATCACTCGCCTCACATAACAAACAGTCTTCTGTCTTCAGGGAGACCATTAAACCTGCCTGTTTCTTTAGCTAATGGTAATGCACCTGAATGTAACTGTGCAGAGATCTTTGATCTTTTAATTAAATTCTGCTGCACAGAAGGCTTTGCAACACTGTGCTGCAGATGTAATGTGTACTGTCGCCACAAGAGAGCAGCAGTAGCCTAAAGCACTGACAAGTGGTTGTTCTGCACATCCAAATCCCCACAACAGCTGGGGAAATCTGACTTCTTGGGGAAAAGGAAACTTCTTCTACCTACAACTTGTCCAATTAGAGAAACAAGATTATAGTTTATTATAGTTGCATTTGAAGCTGTAAACTCAATTAAAGAAGTTAAAGAAATTAGTTTCCATTTCTAATATTAGAACACATACATATTACAGGGCTGACAGCGTTTCCCCAGTTCCTTACCAGCCCATTACAAGAGGAACATTATTTTTCTATCCCTGAGTATCACGCAAATGCTTCTTTCATGAATCAAAGAACTGAGAGAGAAGATTAAAACTATTTACTTTGCTCATAAGCATCATTAGTAGCATTTTCAACTCAACTCCAAACTTACCCCTGTGTGTCTTATCTGAATGAAAATTGTGCATTCTTATTGGTTTGGTGCTAATTGTTTTTACGATGCTCCTGCCCTAAGATGGATTTTGAAAAAGGCGAGGGTTAATAGCATTACAAGAGCAGCTGCAGGTATAAATATAATCAGGTGTGGGATATTCTGCTCACTTACCCCAGTCCTACATACAGTGCTATTAGAACTGTGGTGCTGTTGCTGTGAGTGTAAAACTGCATGAGTTTGCAGCAGGTCATTTCTGAAAATGAACTAATGTGCTTAGCCAGCCTTCCCTAGGAAAATAAAGGTTCAAAACATCTACTAGTACAGCCATTTTATCTGATCCCTGGCAAGGATGATGAATACATGGGTTACTGTTGCAGGATGGCTCATCCTCTTGCACAGTTATGTCACCACGTTAGAAATTGGCCAGATATTGAATCATACGCTTGCTACAACCCTTGGAAGGCTCACAACACTGCACAGTTACTCTAATGAATTAGACATAGACCTACGCTAGCCTTTCATAAGCCAAATACTGTTCACACACACAGACACTTGTGTGTGCTCACGCAGTATGCAACACTAAACTCGATACATAGTTATAAAGCAAGTAATCCCATAAAACTTTCCAAATGTCACTGACAGACTTGACAAACACATAATTAACAAAGCAGGAGAGAACACGGGTTCCTCAAATAGATATTCCCATTTACTGTCACAATACTGACCTCCTTATGGCTCTGCTCTCTCTCTCTCTCTCCTCTCCATGTGCCATCACCACCCACTTACTGCCTCCTCAGCAGGAGAAAGGTTAATACCCTGCCCCCGTCTGTGTCTGCTCTACCCTGTGTATGTGTGGTGTGTGTATGTGTGTGTGTGTGTGTGTGTGTGTGTGTGTGTGTGTGTGTGTGTGCACATATATGCAGTAGGAGTGCATCTCTCGTTTCTGTTTTCTTCAAGTACAGTATAACAAAACCAGGTACACAGTGAATACAAGCAGCAAACAACCGGGACATAACAAGCTAACACAGTACCAACAACACACATCTAAACTCTGTATGTATGCACATGTACATATGTACATACTAAGTATTACATTTTTACATTATAATATTTAATAATGGATTTCATCCTTTAAAGATTATTGTATTTTTGAAGTAGGAGGTCGATCAGGCATTAAAACAAAGGGGAGGCATTATTCTATATATTTTTTTATCTTTCTATCCAAAACCAAAAATTCATTCATTTAATGTTAATAGATTAATTTAATAAAAGACAGTTTTCCCTTTTTCATAGCTGCCTTCCTAATAATACACTATAGGTTACCAAATGCTGTCCCTCATGCCCTAGTGACAGGACATAGTTGAACAATGAACTTATTATTCTTAACTCCCATCCACCCTTACACTTAGCCATGATATATTAGCCTAGCAACTGCTATGCTGCACAATATTGCAAACAAGCAAGTGTGTAGTGGACAAATTATGTAATGATCATACTGAACCGAAGTTGCATTTATTAACTGTATGTTCTTGCATGCTGGCCACATTCACACTCCTATAAATGGCTGTTGTTCAAATAATACCATCCCTGTAATATATAAATGAGGTTTTCAACTTGCCCATCTGGTACTACATGCAAAGTAAAAAACCCCACAAAGAATGGACTTTAAAATTCACTTTGACCAAAGTCTGATCTCTGCACAAAAAATTAGATGCGACTTCTATTGTCAGCATTCTAGAAAAACCTTACGTCTACAAAATATATGCGTCTTGGGAATTGAAACAGTCTGATTGATTTTACACAATATATTTAGGTACAGCATTTTCACAATGTTTTGGATTGCTCCTTGAATAAAATGTGCTCTGCAGGTGGAGGACAATGTAATCTGGTGATGTGTAAAAAAGGGAACATTCAAAACAGTATTTTTCCACTAACGCATCTGCCAAGAGAAAAACAGGCCATTATCCTGAAGGATGCCCAGCGTGCATACTGCAGACACACACACATACAGTACAAGACCCTCATTAAAGCAGCTCAGCAACATGTTACAGCACACTGTCTCCACTGCATCTTTTCCAGGCTGTTCCACAGCTAACGTTTTCTCTGAATGTGGCATTTGCCACCATGGGGGATGTTAACACTGCAATGCCCAATGCTCGTGCGTCTTTCCTGTGTTGGCTGCAGGCTTATGGAGCGAAACAGCACATAAAGTTCACGGCTGAATAATTGATTGTGCGTTGGATGGGTCATGGGGTGGCAGCGAGGATGAGGAGGTGGAAGTGGAAGTCAAATGCCAGCCATGATGCCAGCAGATGATCACTACACTCACCTCAGCCTGTGAGGGCTTGTTAGCAGCTGGATCTGAATAGCTCTCTGCTACATGGAGATATCCAGATAATGAGATTTGGGTAATGAACCAGGGTTATATAATAGTCATATTCCATCGCACAACTACAGAGGGTTTTTAATTTAGACTGGAGAAATAATGGTCTTCTTCTCAATTGCCGCAATAAGTAATTTTCAAAAGGGAACTTTAACACAGACATTACATTGCAATTAAAGCGCTTACACAGGAACTGCAAAAACATGAGCATAAAATGGAATAAAAGTGTAGTCAATAATCCAAATAGGCTGCATTGAAAATGGCAAAAAGTATTGGCACCCCTGTGACTTTCTATTTTGTTTTTAGATAACGAGCTTTACTTTAACATTCCTCAAAGAATTCATTGATATCAAATGATGTTGGCAGATGTATCTCCAAAAATATCAAAAGTTTATTTTAGAAAAGGACACAAATGAAAAACAGCTTTATGATCAGTGTATGAATACATGGTGCATGTGTGTCAGAGTTACAGATAAGGGCTGTGCTGCATGTGAGGGTTCGGAGGGGCACAGTGGGAGTCCAGTATCTCTCACTACATTTCTCTCTTGAAATGGACGCAAATAAAAAACAGCCATGACTGATACTGCCTGCCATATTTTTTTGCTGATTTCTCAAAGCAGCTTCTGTAGCATTTTATATACTTAGCCGTGGAGGGAAGTAGAAATGAAATGGTCTATGGATTAGCAGAGGTGGTTACAGAGTAGAGCTGCATACTGCTGGTGTGTGCTAGCACAGTAAGCATGGAGTTATTGATTTGCAGGTCAAACAGCATCTAGGTATCTAGGTTAAAACCAGGCTAAATCTGGTTTAATTTGAAAATGTACATGTGACTGTTGTTTCAGCAGCATTTAAAAAGCATTACAGTTGATTGTGCAGGTCCTAAGAGAGAAACCAGTGTTTGATGATGATCAATTTATATAAGATTATAGATTAAACTACCCATGAAGTTGTTGTTGTTGGAGTATTGCTACTGGTACACTTAAGTAAATGATCTCAGTACTTCTTCTACTACTGTTGGTTGCAGGTCCACCTCTTTGGTCCAGACTAAAATATCTGAACACATACTGGATGGGTTGGCATGAAATTCTGTACAGACATTCATGGTCCCCAATGGTTGAACCCCTATGATGTTGTTGATCTCTGGACTTTTCCAATGAAGTCTATGAATGTCTGTACAGAATTTCATTGTCTTCATGGATCAGTTTGCAACCCTGCTCTAGTGCCACCATGAGGTTTACATTTGTGCTTTTTAGTGAAATGTTTCAATAACTGTTGAATGGATTGTCCTATCATTTGAACAGTCATGCCCCCTCATAATTAATTGTAAAAATGTTTCTTATTATTTAGCTTTTCCTCTAGCGCCACCATCAGGTCAAAATTCTAATTTGTTCAATACTTTGATTTATGACAAAATACGAAAAAACTATTGACATTTCCATCAACCTCAACTGTACATTGGATTCAGTGGTAATTAGCATATGTTAGCATCATAACACGGAGAACATAGCAAACTTTCTACCTGCTAAACATCAACATTAACATTCTAACTGTGAGCATGTTTTTTCTCAAAGTACCGTTGTGCCTATGTGCAGCCTCACAGAGCTGCTAACATTTATTTACATACTAGCTTGATGTTTAACCTTGCTGCATTCACTCATACTGTACATTTTGTATATCGGTTTATTGTTCAATTTCTACACATCACAGTTATATCCCTTTTCATTATACTACCTCCTTGGGTTATTTTACATGTTGTACATTCATTAATCCTTATATATAATATAAAGTGTATAGGGCCTAACCCTATCCACTTTGCGCTTGGTTACACTGATCTGATAAGAGGCTACACATGTTGTGCACAAATATAGTCGACACAGAACACGTGCACAATTGTCATTTGATAACTGGTTGAAATAGATCTAAAGGTGGGATTTGCCAGTCCCACACCCCATGCACTATAATCACAACAGCAACAAAATACCACAGATATATCTTAAAGTTACAAAGATTGAGTAAAAAATGTACAAGTAATGCACCAATCAAGTGCAATGAATTAGAGGAAACATGACATATTCAGTTATTCAAATAGGTTAACAGGCTCAAATGTGTTAAAAGTATGAATCCAATATGTCTCTCTGCGGTGGAGTGAATTGACTATGTCACCACAGTCGAAACATTGGTCTGTTTGCACTATTAAAGGCTGCAATCAATCAGTGTGCTCCAATCCCTTCTTTCCCCTTTGGAAATATATTGGCACCTATTATAACAGTGGAGTTTATTTTCAAGTTTAAATGCTAAACATTACCTAATTTGAGCTGACTTCTTTTCTTTGTCCTAAACTGAATATCTTTAGATTTTGGACTGTTGGTTTGACAAAACAAACAATTTGAAGATGTCAGTGAGCTTTAGGAAATTGTGATGGAAGATTGTTTGATTATGAAAAAATGCAGTTATTGAAATTACATGAAGCATTCATTATATGTACCCTATCTGAAACACATTTATTTCTCAAGAGAATTCAGTCCAGTTTTAATGTAGAGAGGAAGGGCTGAGCCATTAGTTTACTATTCATTTATTTATTCTATTCATTTATTTTTTAATAACATTTAGTGAAACTGAATTGGGACAGCACTGTAGGCTATATGATCATATTGCATTACTGAAAACTAATCAAAGGAGTTACTGAACCTTCTGTTGTTTAGAGTTGAGTCATAACACAGAACAGTGGGACAGATTCATGCATTGCATCATTGCTTTGAACATCAGTTTGATTATTTTGTGTTACTTACCATACAGTTTTAAAAATCCTAATAACAATAAATATTTAAAAAAAAGTCTTCATTATTGATGTTTTTACCACATGGCCCAGCTCAATGCTTACTTAGAGAAAACAAATCAGACTCTCTGGGTAATTTATAGTTTTCATAGTTTGCCTTTAAGGTCAGTATTTAGCCTCTTGTACAGATGCATTGGTCAGAAATGAATTGTGAATGCTGTAGCCAGCAGTGTAAGCCGGAAGCTGCAGCAAGTGATGAGAGTAAGAAGAAGAAAATGTGACAAAATGAGGTTGTGTGGGACTCTTGTGGAATGGATGTACTGTATAAGTTAAGCTCAGCGTGTAACTCATTAGAAAATCTTTGAGGAGATTTTGCCCAGAGCCCCCTCCAAACCACTCATCTCTCTCCCTCTCCATCTCTCTCTCTCTCTCTAGCGGCATACATTTCAGACGTGTCCTGGCACTCTCTCTCTCTCTCTCTCTCACACACACACACACATACACACACACACACACACACACACTCTCGGTGCTGCAGTGGATCAGACGCAGAGCTCTGGCGCGCCTGCTTTTCCGCGGCAAATCGTTTCATCTGTTGGAATACGGCAGCGTTAAAGAGGGGAGATGTTGCCTGCTATTTCCGCTGCTCCATCTCTCAGTTCACACTCCCGTCGTTTTTTTTTAATAGCTGCAGCTCCCAATCCACGCTCATTTGACCCGGTTGACGTGTTCTGCGCGGACTCCAGCGTCTAATTCTCGCGTCCTGTTTGCGTAAAAGTCGTGAGTAAGGGACGCGCTGTCCAATATGCATGCTTTATTGCAGGCATGATCTATGATTTATTGCAGGATTTAGTCACGCCGAATGTGTGGAATTGCAAATAAACGAGTTGGACTGCAGGACTGTGGTTCGTTTGAAACTTGACTGATCTCGAGGCGAGCAGCAACTTGTCCTCGCATGAGCGCTACGCTGTCTGCAAAGTAAAGGCTGCCTGAACTGTGTTTGACTCTGTCCCCGAAAATATCCATCATGCCATGTATAATTAACCATGCATTATGCTAAAGTATAGGCCTCCGCTGACTAAATTATTTACTCGATTCGCTAAACACTTGCAATTAAAAGTAAATAGGCTAGTTGGTTTAGGCTACACAATATCTGCAGCATAAAATCCAAAGACAGTCCTGCCTAAAGGAGTCGGACACGTGTCGACTTCACTTAAATTTAAGTTGCAAAATTCGCACATAAAATAACCTTTTCCCCGAATTGACTCCGCTGCGGCACCGGGGCCAACCTGTTCAGCTCACCTTGAACCATGCTGGTAATTTGCAGAAGACCTCCGCGGGTAACTCGCGCAGCCCGCGGGCATGCGATGTTCCTCCGGGCATCTCTCATCGTCCTTCTCCTCCTCTGGCCACGGCCGTCCGCAGGCAAGAAGAAGCTGTACATCGGAGCGCTGTTCCCCATGAGCGGAGGCTGGCCGGGTGGTCAGGCGTGTATGCCCTCCGCTCAGATGGCTCTGGACCTCGTGAACAACAGGAGCGACATCCTGCCCGACTACGAGCTGGAGCTCATCCACTTCGACAGCATGGTGAGTGCATGTGGAGGAGAGTCAGAGGAGGTGCGCACTTAAGTGATGTGAGGTGTCAGTCAGTGAGGGATCTAATGATCTGCCTCTCAAGTTATCAAGAGGAGTAACTGCCTCTGTTGTGTCATTTTCAGTGTGCTGAGTATTATTTGTCATCACTGTTTTGTTTCATTTTGATATTTACTCTTGCAACCAAACAATGTTTTCTGACTGTATGGAGCTTATTTTATTTCCCACTCTGGATTCTGAAGAGTCATGGCAGGTATATTACATTTTACTTTGCCACAACAACAGCACAGTTCCTCACCGACACCTGCCTTGTCTCGCAGTCCGAGATCTCTAAGAAGAGCTTTCCTAAAAGGTCACCCCCATAAAAACTAACCCTCAGGTCCTCACGCCGCTGAACAAAAGAGGCTGCCATGCCATGTACTGTGATGGTTTGTGCTAAATGAACAAACACACCTCCTGCTTGTTGCTCATCAATCATTAATCATGGCGGTATTTTAAAATGTCAGCATTATCAACCACTAGAAGTCCAATATCCGCCCCCTGACTGGTTTCATTCCCCCCGCTGCCCCAGTTTACCACCCCCTACACTGACATAGACTTTAATCAAAAAACACATTATTTATCTTTGTAAAAAAACGGTTCTATTTGGGCCTTGTTGCTGCACGTCCCAATTGTTACTCTGACAGTTTTTACCCAAAAGGAACCATTTTTCCCAACAATGGGATGAGTGGAGACACATGAAAACAATTACTGGATATCCCCACTGCCTCTTCTTCTGAGGGTTATTATCAATCATGCTGCAAGACAGATGCCTGCAGAGTGGCCGGGGACCCAAACAGTTAAGTGTACTGGGACTGGTTAGAAATTTGCTTCAAGCTTTATTCTGATTGGTGTACAAGGCTCTGCATTGGAATCCTGTTAAACAGAATAGCAGGGAGAGAGAGTGAGTAAGTGTGTGTGTGTGTGTGTGTGTGTGTGTGTGTGTGTGCCCGCACGGCTGTGTGTGAGAGAGAGGGAGAGTTGGCATGGCAACACAGTTACTCTTGAAGCAAACCACAGAAACAAATAAGGCTTCAGCTCTGTGAAAATATGTGTGCAAATTCATATGCTGGATGTATGCAGAGACGATAGTACAGTGCATGCTTATTCACATTCTGTTATTCATAAACCTTGTTCTTTGCAATCAAATGCTTAACAGATGTAAATGTATGTCTGTGCATCCTATGATTACAATTGTAGTGAAGCAGGCGGCTGCAGATGTAGCAGCCATAAACATAAAGCTAAAGCTGTTGCATGAACAGATTTCATAGGGATTGGAAAAAATCACTCCTCGTGCTTCAGGAGTCGCTTGCGCCTCCGGCTCGAGAAATAGATGCAGATCCTTTGAATAGAGCAGCTCAAGGAGGCTGGTATAACATTGTCTGAGTGACGCTGGCTAATTCCTTGAATTAAGTGAAGGGGGGATGCTATTGCTCCTGCTCTGGGTACAGTGTGTCTGGAATGTGGTTTTCTTACCTCCTGATTGCAAGCGTTCTTCACCTGGCTGGAATAGTAATGAGGCTCTTACCCTTTGAGAGGGAGAGAAAAGCAAACATAAGAAAAGACATTAATTAGCGATCATTTTTACATCCAGTTATTACTACTCACTCGTCAATCTTGTTTGGTCAGAGAACAAATCTCCACCTTCTCTTTGTTTAGCTGTGAGATTAAGACAAGGGCGTAACCGGCCCTTTGTTTGCTTGCGTCTTAAGATCCAGGCTGGAGTAGCGTGATTATACAGCTGACTCTATTGACCTGAATTTATTATGATGACAAACTTTTAGTGCGTCTTTAAAGTCAAACAGCAGCATTGAATACAAGATATGCATGCAAGTTGGCAAACAGGTGCCTAAACACACACAGACACACGCTCATACACACACACACACACACACACACACACACACACACACACACACACACACACACACACACACCAGTTTGTGACCATAGAGTCGGGAGTATCAAGCTATGTCCTCAGCTTGTTCAACATCATACAATATTCATGAAGCTCAACACTTAATCCCAGCCTGTCCTTTTAATGGATGCAGATACCCTGTGGTAGCAGAACGGCTTGTTTCTATGGCTATTCTGGCGACAGCATCAGACTATTTACAGCCTTCTGAGATCTACACACGAACAGACGCGCACACACACTCGCACAGTATGTGCAGACACACACTCTCTGCGCAGGCCGTTGCCATGGATATATCAAAGCCGAGACTGCAAACTTTGATCAATTATTAACAGTGATGGAGTGAGACAGTGGAGATACAGAGAAGTGGCGAAACAAGGTGCTTTCCTCACTTCCGCCCTTTACTTTAATTGGCAGCCGTGCCACAATTCCTCATCCACTGTGGCATAACCAGTATTCGTCACTGGTTCCTCATGCATGTCCATTGGCATATGAGACCGGAGTAGGGTGCCAGATGTAATTATGAGGAAATTAGGAGATGTAGCTGAGCGTGCTTTGAGATTCAATACATAGGCTGTCCCCCAGGCCCTTATCTTATCCCCTCCTCACACTTTTTATATCATTCAATCTGGAGTGTAATTAGAGTGTATTATGAGGAGTCAGTGTCTTCTCCCGTTCTTCCCAGCCCAGGGAACCTTCACTTGCTTTCAGAAAGTTCTCTCATGCTGGGTTTGACTGATTGAAAAGGCTACGTAGGCATGTTACCATCAACACTGATGTTGGCTCAGGGAATTTCAGCACCGATGACAGTGACAGAAGTGGTGGTACAATGTCATGTATGTGTAGCTGTATGTATTTTTATGACTGTGTACACACACTTGCACTAATCTGTATGTGTGTGTGTGTGTGTGTGTCCGTGAACATGAATGGCATCGGGGGCCATCAACCCAGGCACTCTCATGAGCCGAGGAGGGCTAGAAATGAAAGTGGAAATACTGATGACCCCAGGGGGTTATAGAAGACAGACCTCTAAGAATAGCACAGATTCCTCAGCCTTTATTGCACACCTGCCAACACCCCTATTTTCTTTTAATATTTTTCATAACGGAGACTGTGTGCTTTTTCACCTCTTACTGCACCGTGTTCCCATTTTGTTACCAAAGGTTTAATTTCTTACGCATGTTGAAACATGAATGACTGAAAGGTTCAACTATAGAGTCTGAAGCTGTTTTGCAGTGGTGTTCAATAATAGACCACCTTCATTATATACCTTAACAGCCTGTTAACCTTTTCATTTTTAGGTTAAGGTGGGAACATGGCATAAGTAACTGTAAGGGGTAAAACAACTGCTCGTTGAAAGACAAAGTCAAGTTCAAGTTCAGTTGTTGCTTTTGCTCCGAGCTGCAATGGATGGTATTAATGGCAAAAAAAGTCTTTGTTTTAGCATAATGTTCCACATTTAGAATTCTGAAACACCCTTATTTTATACGGGATGATTAAGGCACATTTAAGCTTTTTAAGGGATGTTTATCTGCTAGTGATTTGCAATGATTATAACCCAATTAAACTATCTGACTGTGCTTTTTCACCTCTTAATGCACCGTGTTCCCATGTTGTTACTGTTAAACCAAAGGTTTAATTTATTATCCTCATAGAAACACATGACTGATTAAAAGGAATGCTAACTATGGCATCTCATACGGTTTTGCAATTGTGTTCAAGAATAGAACCTCTTCATTAACACTGTATAACATAACAGCCTGTAAGTAATTGTAACAACCTAATTGATTCCTTGAAACACCAAAACCAATTTTAAGCTGTTGCTTTTGCTCTTCTTGTTGCTGTGACATAAACGATAAAAGGGTTTAATTGCAATATTTAAGGCTGTGTCTGAAATCACCCACTACTCGCCCTTTTGTAGTGCTGTCCGAATGTATAGTGAGAATTATTATGCCCTATATAGTCCACTCAATGTATCCCAGAATGCATTTTGCAAAGCAGTGTACAACCGATGGTCACTAACCAAGCCCTATATACCATCATGCATCGTGATGATAGAAAAAACTGATTAACAGCGCCGAAGTAATGGGAAAGTGTTGTTTTAATAATGCGAGTGAGCTCATAGGGGGTAGGGAGTATTGAATTAGTGGGGATTTCGGGCACAGCCTAGGTCTTTATTTGAACGGCCTGTTCCGTAATCTTACAAATTAAAGAAAATGTTAGCCATTACATTCAAACATCTAATGGAGACTTATACAGGAGGGATTTTAAAGCTTTTTGTGGGTGTTTGTCCACTAGTGATTGGATTTGGCGTTACTTAACCAATCAATAAAACAGTTTTTCTCAGTAACGCATGCACTTACCTATAATACTATTTTTTTTAATTGAACCTCTGCGCCAAGCTGCTTCTGTGACTATATTAAATCTTAGAAAAACATTAATCAAAATATATAAAACATTCTAAAATATTTCTGTCTAATGGCAAAATTATCTGTAGAAAATAACACTGACCGAACAAGTCAAGGGATAACATTTTGTCTTGGTGAAAATACTTGCAATTTGTTCTATGTCTGTTTTTTGTCATGTTTGTTGAAATACTCAACAATCAATAAATCAAATGCTCTGGCACAAAAACGAAAAAATACGGCATCTGTGGCTGTAGGACTGTAATAAGAACAGCTTTATCTGGTCTGAATGAAATTAATGACTTGCCTATGTTCCTGTCTACTGCCCTGCCTACCTACCTGTGTGCACTTTGTGCACTCCAGGCACATGAAAATGTGTTTTGGGGGAGTGGCTTTGGAGTGAGGCCTAAAGGGATTTTTTTCAGTTGAATACTTTAAATATTTAGCTGTGTCTAGTTTCTCCAACCTTGCATAC